CAGTGCACCTGCCCTTCTGGGAAAAAAGCCAGCATCTGTGACCATCCCACCCCAACATCAAAGGTCATGGCAAGGATGGGCCCAGTCCTGGCAGGAGCAGCAGCCTTGCTGGATTCGGCAGCAGGCAGGCAAGACATTCACTCAACAGGCATCCTGGCACCTGTTGCCCATTATTCTCTGCTCTGGCATCTGAAGGCTGTAAAATGTCCGGGAGGCAGGAAAGGTATAACAGAAAAGGGAGGGGGGAAATCCCAGATTGTGGTGAAAGCATGTGGGAAGACAGCTGCCCTTTGACTGTGAAACGCCTGACTCAGCTTCTTCTTTTTGTCCAGGATCCAAAATCTCTGCCCAATTGCTCGGATTTTAATTCCTGTTGTGGGCCTCAATCAAGTCCTGGAACTGGATACAAATAGCCTTTCAAAATTCTCCGCCAAATTTGTCAGCATAAAAAAGAAATGCCCCTTTCCCCCCGATTTGCGAGAAAGGGGAAATTCTGGGATACAGTAATTGCCCCACCATGGCAAAACTCAGCAGTGAGGGTGACAGTAGCCCTAGTAATTAGAAAATTCTCTCTCCTCCACTTCCCAAAAAGGAGTTCCCTCCTGAAGTCTCCCCTCCAGTTTGAATGGAAGTGGAAGAAGCCAAAAAGGCTATGATACAATGGAAGACAGGACCTTCACGTCCATCTCTCAGCCACCTTGTGTTAAAAGAGCACAACCTTCACCCATCAGAATTCCACAACATTTTTTCCTCCTTTGAAATACATTCTGTAAGTCAGTCGTGTTTCCTCAAACTGAATGAGACTGAGTAGAGAAAAAGGACTGGTTTAGGCTGCAAGAATGCAACCATCAAATATTTAAACCGATGGGCTCCTTACCCCAATCACCTTGAGGATGTTCAGAGCCCTTTCATTTCTTCCCGAGTGCCATAGCTGCCTCTGGTATGCCTGGGATCATCTGGAGGTTATTGAGCAAACTTTGTCTTAACCCAACATGTAAAGCCAGACAAAAAGAGAACGATAGAAACCTAGGGCAAAGGAAAAGGAGTGAGATGGAGGTTTGCTACACGCCTTTAATCTGCTGAGAAAGATGAAAGATGGACTGCTTTGAACCATATTCCTGAAGCTAGGCCCTCCAAATGCATTAGCTACAACTCCCATCATCCCCTGTCAATAGAGTCAGTTGTAACACATCTGGAAGATTTCAGATTGGTTGAAATACATGGTAGGGGGTAGATTGTAGTATGTGATCCTGACAAAGAAGAGTCAGATGTTCTCAGGCCACCAAGAGGAAGAGATATCTAGGGCTGCGACAGAGCAAAGCAGTGACCAGAAGACTGATTCTGAAGTTGCATTAAGCTGAGACGTAAAACACAAGGGACAGAAGGATCACTGTGGCCTTCCTAAAGGAGGAGTCATGGCACTGGTGGGTGGTCTGGCACCACTAGACTAAAAATCCTGAAGTTCTGGGTATTTACAGGTGGTCAGAAGTTTAATTTATTTATTTAGATTTAGACACTACCCAACTCCAAAATGACTCTGGAGGGCTCTGAGTTACTGTAGGAGTTCAGGGAAGGGGTGGCTTATCATAAGATTCTCAATCTGGTGTCCTCTAGTTGGGATGAGGGCACAACTCCCAAACTCTGAGCAAGCAGTGACCATCCTGGCTGGGAATTTTGGGAGCCATGGCAACACATCCAGAGGACACCAGATTGAGGAAAACTGGCTTAGCACATCCAGGTGCTAAGGCACTCTGTTCTCCATGTTCTTTTAACCTGGAGCTTCCTTGTTTTGATCACCAGCCTTGGTCAGCAAGATGGAAGCCTAAAGACCAAAACTGAGGTCTATAGTGAGGAATGTATAGAGCAGTGTTGTCCAAACTTGGCCACTTTAAGATGAGTGGACTTCAACTCCCAGAATTCCCCAGCCAGCCATGTTAGGGGAAGGTCCAATGGCTCCAAGCTGTCTTTTTGGAGAAGCAGTCATCTCCAGCTGCAAGAGAGGGATCCTCTATACCAGTGTTGTCCAAACTTGGCCACTTTAAGATGAGTGTTGGATTTCTCATGGCTAAGCGGAAGAGAGAACAAAACACAACCATCTTCTTAGATGTTCATCCTTCTGTTGGAAGCACATTTGCTCCAGGATGCTTTTTACAAAGAGGCTGAGAGAAACCTTTGTGTATCACTAGCTGGGAAGAAACTGAAAAGACCAGGAAGCGGGCATAGATTCCACCATAAGTGTCTACAAGAAGACACAATGACATCATGTCCCTCATTATGCCACAGGACAAATAACATGAATGATGCAATTTGTCTCAGTCCTAACAGTCGCAAATTACAAAATGTGTTCCATTTTTACAGTGACTTATAAGGCACATGCACCCTTACCATGGATGTGCCTGGATTCCAAGTGACAGAAAATGGGATTGATGATGATTAAGAAGCAGAAATCAAAAAAGACCTCTGGGGATAATGTTGCTCAGCCCGCCACATTTGATCCTCTTCCTCTTCCATGAGAGCTTTTATTGGATTAGAGTGGAAATAACGCAGTGGTTATGCACAACACACTATATATCTTCTTACTGAATGCCTTCATTTCAAAGGGCTGCGTTCACACATGCTGAATTACAAAAAAAAGAAAAAAAACTCAGGAAGGCTAACTCTTTCTTAAGATGAGCATGCCACGCAAATCTAGCCAGTATCCCCCTACTTAACCTGGGTAAGCCTGTAGCATGCAAACAGCCAAAATATGCCCCTTGCAGAAGGGTCTCTGATATTGCATCAGAGTGGCAGTAGAACTATATTTCAAAACAAATTGTGCTAAGAATAAATGCTCTTTTTGTTCTGTTTTAGGATGATGGCTGTGATGGGACTGGTTCTGTCATTTGAAACAGGGAGGGAAAAACCCACAGAGGAAGGCGCCAATTGGATAGCGCTCATAATTCTTAACTACTTCCTCTGACACACAGATCTCCACAGCAGCTTTACAACTTTTTAAATGTTGGTTATTTATTATAACCCTCTGGGTAGAGAAAAGACAAGCATGAATAGATGTACAATTGGTTATTCCGTCCAAAAGAACCAGGATAGCCAAGAGGACCCACGTTTTGACTTGTGGAGGAGAGCTGTGTTAGTCTCTGCTAGTCCAAAACCAGAAAAACTCTTGTAGCACTTTTTCAGACTAATACCTTTTATAAAAATGAGCTCATGAAAGCTTATGCCTTTTAATCAAGGTGTGAAAAGGTGCTACCAGATTCTTCCTGATTTAATGCATATTGTGAAATGGCGCTAAAGGTGTGGATCAGCTGGACAGCTCTGTGGCTGGATTCACACAGAACATTAACCCGTGTTTTTTATTAGTTTGGTAAATAGAGCACAGATAGATGGGCTTATACATCCTGCTAAACCATAAACCATGTTGGTTGGCAGCATGCAACATCCAAATCTCACTGTAGGAAGGGGTGCAGGGATGTGTGAACCCAGGCTGAAAGCCTGATGCCCTACCAGCCTCCTAAGTAACTTCTAAACCCTTCTCTGGACAACACCCATCAATGACCATCATCCCATTCCAATTTGTGTTCAGTTCTACGTATTCTCAGATCAATGTACGTGAAACCAAATGCTTAAAACACTTTCTCAACAGCCCTTGGAACCATCACCAGATGGCAGTCTTCCTCCATAAACAAGGACCAGAGCTCCAGAGAAGCCAGTGGAATAGGTTTCTAGGACTTATTTCAAACCGATGGGCAGAAATTTCCCCGGATGTCAGCCTAACTCGGTGCCCAGAGTAGATACGAGACGGAGAAACATCTGCTTCTGGGGCACTAAAGTGATTTCACGGGAGTGAGTGGACAAGAGCAAAGTCTGAAATTCAAGGAAGCCACTCGGATTGCAGAAGACAATGAGATGCAGACAGGCAAGATCCTAGCCTAGGGGAAGGTCTGAGTAGCAAATCACTGGCACCCAACACTTCATAGGGAATATTGTGGCCTTTCCTTGGCCAGTTGTGCACTCCCCAGGGTTTATCACCACAATATCACCACCCGTAAGGTAGCTTAGGCTGAAAAAGTGCTACCGATGCTGAATCACCTATTGAAATTATGGCTAAAACCCGATACACGCACATTTTCAGCTGTGGAAGCTCATCAGTAGACTAACCCAGTTAGGATCTCTCAGCCTAAGCTACGTCTCAGGGAAAAACTGGGAGTGCTACATAGGCCACTTTTAGTTTCTGGGGGAAACCATAGGAGATCAGTCTAACAAATGAACAGTCCAACTCGTTGACTAAGCCCTCATGTTGACTTTTTGCTGGCTTCTCACTTGGGTGTCCTAATTCCAGAATTTCAATTTTATGGATTAAACTAAATAAGCCAGGATGACTTTGGCATACTTAACTAGGTCAACACAAGAGATGCATTCACCCCCTATGTTAAGCTGGATCAACTATAACTTTGTTTAGGAGCTTATTGAAGGAGGCTTCACACATGGTTTGCTGAATATGCTATAAAACCTCAGCCCTTTCGGTTCATTTATGATTCAGTGTGTTGTGAGAACCCATAAAATGAGTCAGTTCAGTAACTGTTGGTCAAACACAGCCACCAAGGTTTGGGGAAGGGAAGACAATTTCCACCACAGTCTTCTCCTTCACCAGGTCTTGATGGGCACAGCCGGTCATCTTCATTTTTGGAAGGGTTTCTGGCAGAGAAAGGGTGAAAGAAGAAGAGGAGCAAGACCGGAGTTGTGATGGTTATGTAGCTGTGGAGTCCTTGGGGTTCTCTGAGCTTGGTTGTTTTCTTGCAGACATTCAGTGCTAGCACTGAAGATGTTACCTAGCTGGGTAACAAAACATCTGCAAGAAAACCACCAAGCTCAGAGAACCCCAAGGACTCCACAGTTCAACCCGGAACTACAGAGATTCTCTTCTGTTGGCTATGGGGCTGCTCAGATTAGCACAGTGTTGAGTACATTTAAAAAAAAAATATTTTATTTGGTGTGCACAACAAAGAAAATCAGGAAAGAGGGTGACCAAACCATGAAAACATAAAACTAATGTACTAATCAAAACTAGTTGTTATGTTAAACAATTAAGTAAATGTAAATAATTTACTTTACATAGGGGAAGAGGAATGTACATAAATTAGCATATATACCATTTCAAATAGTCTTCCAAATATGACTTGGAGCAGTAAAATGCTTGTTCAGATAGAGAAAGAGAGGCAAGTTCTTAAGATGGTTGAATCATTGACAGAGAGTGTAGTATCCAATCTTGTAATATCAACTTTTTGGCAGTCATAAATGTGCCTGTAATCCATTTCCATTGTCTTCATTTCCCAGCCACAAGTATCATACATAATTCAAAAGAACATGAGCATCTGCAAAAACCAAGAAGTCTCCTAAATAATAATAATAATAATAATAATAATAATAATAATAATAATAATATCATCTGTAGTATCTGCCCAGACAGGAGACATTAAAGCATCAGGGATACGTGTCAGAAGGTTTAGGTCTGAGAATGTAAAAGCTGTTAATGGAGACCATTTTGGGGCATACACATGATTATTTCTTGGCAAAGAGATAGCATTTTTAATAAATAACCCAATAAATAAAAATACGCATACAAGAATTCATAAATGAGACAGGAGGGCAGAAATCTACTTACTACAGACCCAAGAATTTATCAGTAACATTCCTCCTAGGACTTTACCCCTTCAAGCTGGAGCTGAGGTAGATGCCTGATGATATACTTCTCCATAAAACTCCTTGAAGATAGAAAAATAGACCTCTTTTTCCTGTCTTGCTAGTTTTTTATGAGCCGAAAGGAATTATCTCTTGTGTCCTCTGCACACACCCTCACCAACTGTTAATTACAGCCACCCAGCCACTATTCGGTTGCACAAGGGCGGTCATTTTGATGGCTTACTCTGTCAAGCCAACTCAACCTGCTTGATTAGTTTATGTCTGTGAGAACCAGAAAACAAGGTAACTCATGGCTGGCTGGGGAATTCTGGGATTTGAAGTCCACACATCTTAAAGTTGCCAAGGTTGAGGAACACTGTGTTATAGACTAGGAGTGAGGAGATCCAGGTTGATCTCCTCATTCCCGAGCCATAGGAGCTTCCTGGATGACTCTGGGCCAGTCACTCAGCTGAAGCTACTTCACAGGGTTGGAGAAAAAAATAGTAGGACGGAGTACCATATATGTCACTTTGAGCTCCTCAAGGAAAGGCAGGATCTACATCTAACAATTAAAATACTCATCTGGAGAGCCCCATGAGTGGAGAAGGCTGCTCTCATAGATCTCCAGGGCAAGCCCCAATGATGTCACACACACAACAATGTCAGTGTGCAAATGACACGAATTATGTCACTTCTGTCATGACACCCCAGCAAATTAAGTCACTTGCCCCATCTGCACAGACACCCAGGCTTGCTACAGACTTCCAAGCCCGCAAGCTTCTGTGCAACAGGAGACAATGTTCGACTCCTGCCTCAGGTGTCCAGAGATTCCTTGCACGTTAACAGACATGCACTCTTTGCAATCTGGATAGCCCTGCCCTACCTAGCAACTTTCTAAGTGCTTGTTTTCCAGTTCTGTAATTGGATCTGGGTTTCTGTCCTGCTGGCAGTGCTGTTTTCTCGGCTATTTTTTTTTATTGCTATTTTGTATTATAATTATTGAATTTGACTGCACTTCGGTGGGAAGTGCACTAAGTAGCCTGGAGGCCTCTTTTAGCAAAAGGAGGGCATTTACTGCTATAAACAAATCAACAAGATGAAATAAAAGATCTGCCAAGGTCCTCTGCCGAAGAGAAGGGAAAACTCTGGCAAGAAACAAGTAAATGAAGGAGGATATTCTGCACCCGTGGAGCTGTGCACTGCCCTGGCTGACGGTGAGGGATCTTGATGGAAGAGCAGGAGATGGGGGGAAATAATGTTGTCTGGTTGCTTGAACACACTTGCACCTATTTAGCACCAGCTGTTATATAGAAGCCACAAGACGGAATTGCCTTTGCAAACGGTACTGAAGACGAAGGCAGGATGGGCATTCTCTTGGATTTGCATAAATGATATTTGACTGCAAAATGGTGAGAGGGAGAGCCCTTGAAAGAGCATCATTGGGGGCCAGCTATAGCAGCAATGGGTACCCAAGGCTTTGACCTCCTGTAAGGCCAGAAAAGGATTCCAGAAGCCCAGACGATAGCCCCCAGCTATAGGTCATTTTTGGAAAGACCGGTGGGGAGAACATGGCCAGCCGAGCAGACTATCCATCAAGCCTACAAGCGTGCATTGATGCTTGTTTGCTGGCTCCTTGATTTCTTCCCCACTCAGAGGGATCATTTTTTAAACCAGTGTTTCTCAACTTGGCCACTTTAAGATGGGTGGACTTCAACTCCCAGAATTCCCCATCTCCCAGGGGATTCTGGGAGATGAAGTCCTCACAGCGTGAAGTTGCCAAGGCTGAGAAACACTGGTCTACAGTAGCCAAAAATCAGAAGGAGTTTGATAGCATCTTTTCCGACTAGTTGAAGTCCACCCATCTTAAAGGGCCAAGTTGAGAAACACTATTCTAGATGAGTGGACTTTAATTCCTAAAATTCTCGGCAGTGGCCAGGCTGGCTGGGGAATTCTGGGCGTTGAAGTCCACCCATCTTAGAGTGGCCAAGTTGAGAAACACTGTTGTAAACCCTTGCTTTATTGATGGATGGATCCTGGAAGGAAAGAGTCCCAAAATTAAAAAGAAGTAGTTGCCTCTGACGGAGGCACGCCACAGGGTTTCTTGCTCAACGCGGCTGCAGCTCCATCGCTATCTGCTGCCTGGCCACAAGTCTTGGCAGCTGTAGGTGCATTAAATGATGTGGTGACCCAGCATTCAGGCCCGGCATCGATCGTGCCCATTAATCTTTACCTTTTGGCGCACTCATTCATGGGAAAAGCTGAGCACAGATGGAGGGGCAGGAGAGGGCAACTGAGGACAGCGGCTGGGGGGGGGGGCAGGCTGCCTGGGCTGGGTTTCTTGAAGCACAGCTCCCCCAACCTGCCAACGCCGAGCCTACACCGAGCATGCGCCCGGGCTGCGGCTGAAGGACAAGGCAAAGCCACGGAGGCTTCTATTCCCCCAGCTAGCAAAACAGATTGCGCAAATAAGCGCAGCAGATCTGGGGAACAGCTGGTTTGGAGAGGAGCAGAGGAATCTGAACACAACGGGGCATCAGCCACGATTGCCTTGAGCAACACCCAAGACGATGCCCTTCCCGTGCCTCTCTCTCCCCCATCGAGAGGGGGGTCACAGTGGAGATTTTCTTGCGGGGAGGCGGGGGGGGGCTGTGTCTCCTGCCTTACTCAGAAGGAAGCGGCTTCATACTCACTGTTAAAAGCTGGGAGCTGAAGCCCAGATTTTTCTGCCCTGAAAAGCACTCACACATCTCATTTGCAATCTTGACCCCTGGCAGTTAAGATCAGCCGTTGGTTCTCCGTTGACCTTGAGCAGGGACTCTTGCTGAGGAGAAGGCGAGGGTGTTATCAGTTCCTCCTTGAAAAGATTTTCAGAGGCGATACGGCGGGCCCCATCGCCCCTCATGTCCTTTGAAAAAAATCAGGGGAAGGAGGGGAAGGCAACCGTACAAAGCAAAAAATAAAGTAAGAGCGGATCTCTGAACTGAAGCAAGCTGGTGTTGGGGATTCTTTCCCCCCATCAAGTTCCCATCGGGGATTAAAACCGGATTGCTCGTATCTTCCCTTTCCTACCGGGAACTGAGTCACTTTGTGTGAGATGGACAGCTATATAAATATGGTAAATAAATAAGATAAATAAATAAACTGCCCTAACCCCATTTTATCTTCATTGCGCTCCTGTAGCAAAGTGGCCCTTTAAAGATTCATCAGCGTAGTAAGTCACACGATTCCATGGATTAGGATTCCATTGCACGATTAGATTGAGGAATGCGTAACTTTGCATCAATGAGAGTGGAAGGGAATAGGGATTCAGGTCTTCCCAAGGTAAGCTTTGCGCTCTAACCTTATCTATGCTTCTTCTACCTCTTCTATTTCTGCTTTGGAAAGATTGCTAGATGATCTGCTCTCTCTTGGAGTGCAGGAAACAAAGTGCCTCGTATGTTGGCTATATTGACACCACACAGTGACCCAATGGTTAAAATAACCATGGCTTGTCCAATGAACATGATTTTCTGAACCTGCATGACCAGGAACTGTGAACTAATCATACACTCTGGATCCTTAGAACATGCAAGGGCAGTGTTTCTCAACTTGGCCACTTGAAGATGGGCGGACTTCAACTCCCAGAATTCCCCAGCCAGCCATGCTGGC